CTGTTGTTGGAAAAGTCTTTGAACGTGTTATTTTCAAACACCTACATAATTATTTCGTAGAAAATTCATTGCTTTATAAACACCAGTCTGGCTTTCTACTGATTATCGGCTCATTTAAATTTATCAAAATATTTGTATTGCTCTTGAAGAGAAAAAACATATATGTATGGTCTTCTGTGATATTTCTAAAGCGTTCGATCGTATTTGGCATAAAGGTTTGATGGTAAAATTAAAATCGCACGGACTTTGTGGTGAGCTATTTAAGTGTGGCTAGAAAACTATGTATTAAATAGGCAGCAGAAAGTTTTCCTAAATAGTGTTTATTCTCAATTAGGTTCAAACTCAGCAGGGTTTCATCAAGGTTCCATTCTTGGACCACTTTTGTTTTTTCTATACATAAATGATATTGCCGATGTCCTTGAATCATCTGCTCGTCTGTTTGCAGATGACACTTCTTTATTAAAGTCTTCCTCATCATGTCTTGAAATCCAAACTGTCTTAAATAGGGATCTTGATTCTTTAAACTTTTGGGCTAAAACTTGGTTGGTTACTTTCAATCCAGACAAAACTGAGGTAATATTTATTTCTACTTCGATTGACATAGATGATGATTTAGACCTTAAGTTTGACGGAAAAGATTTGAATTTTACACATCATCATAGGCACTTGGGGGTAAATTTTAATTCTAGCACGAAATGGGGGAGGGGGGGTCATATAAATGCTACATATATATATGTTATGAAGAAAAATCAATGTCTTAAGAAGGTTGAAATATTTGTTAAATAAAAATAGTCTCTTAAAAATTTACAAAGCCCAAAGAGAAGCTTCTCGAACTATTATTGGCCTTCCTTCTTATTCACGTAAAGATTTACATTTTGAAACTGGTTTAGATACACTTTCGAATCGTCTAAAACAAAGAAAACTTCAACTTTTATTTAAAATGCATAACAAGCTAACTTCAAATTATTTAAACGATCTCTTGCCACCTATTGTTGCAGATAATAACCGATACAATCTTAGAAATAACAATGATTATAGAGTTCCTCCATCTGGAACTTGTTAGATTTCTATGTATGGTCACTGTCTTCCATAAATTTGTTTAAAACCTCACTTACTTTAACTACACAACAATCCCTACCTATCTATTTTAGTTATTGCGAACGGAAGTTCAACATAATACATACTAAACTTAGACACAGTTGTAGTTCCCTTAAATACGATCTTTATCGAGTAAATCTTGTCGAAAATCCAGTTTGCTCCTGTGGACATCCTTGTGAGAATGCCTTTCACTTCTTCTTCTTTGAGTGGCCTAAAAACATTATCAGGGAGTGGCAATGATATCGAACACCCATGAAGTGATCCCGAGGATGTCCTGACCAAAATTTATTTTTCGCTTTGGTCCAAAATACAACGTAACTCATCTAGAACATGTAGTCTGAACTACTTCTCAAGTTTCATTCGCACCAATGGGGAAAATGTTTGGAAAAGAAAGATGATTTCTTGTTATTTTTAAGTCTGGTCAAAATTTCAACATTTTAACTACAACAGCCATTTTGTAACATGGTTGTGCAACTGTTTTTACATGAACAGAATCTACCATTAATGAGTTTCTGATAATTTCAAGGAATGTTCAGAATTTGAATTCATCAGATTTGTCAGACTATCATCAGCAAATTCTGTGATTCGTCAATTCATTGGAGAGGTTAATGTCAGAATGAGGTGTTCTGTATGTAGAGGTTAATGTCAGAATGAGGTGTTCTGTATGTAGAGGTTGATGTCAGAATGAGGTATCTTGTATGTAGAGGTTAATGTCAGAATGAGGTGTTCTGTATGTAGAGGTTAATGTCAGAATGAGGTGTTCTGTATGTAGAGGTTGTGACAGAATGAGGTGTTATGTATGTAGAGGTTAATGTCAGAATGACATGTTCTGTATGTAATGGTTTATGTCAGAATGAGGTGTTCTGTATGTAGAGGTAAATGTCAGAATGAGGTGTTCTTAATGTAGAGAATAGTGACAAAATGAGGTGTTCTGTATGTAGAGGTTGTGACAGAATGAGGAGTTCTGTATGTAGAGGTTATTGTCAGAATGAGGTGTTCTGTATGTAGAGGTTAATGTCAGAATGAGGTGTCCTGTATGTAGAGGTTAATGTCAGAATGAGGTGTTCTGTATGTAGAGGTTAATGTCAGAATGAGGTGTCCTGTATGTAGAGGTTAATGTCAGAATGAGGTGTTCTGTATGTAGAGGTTAATGTCAGAATGAGGTGTCCTGTATGTAGAGGTTAATGTCAGAATGAGGTGTTCTGTATGTAGAGGTTAATGTCAGAATGAGGTGTTCTGTATGTAGAGGTTAATGTCAGAATGAGGTGTTCTGTATGTAGAGGTAAATGTCAGAATGAGGTGTTCTGTATGTAGAGGTTATTGTCAGAATGAGGTGTCCTGTATGTAGAGGTTGATGTCAGAATGAGGTATCTTGTATGTAGAGGTTAATGTCAGAATGACATGTTCTGTATGTAGAGGTTAATGTCAGAATGAGGTGTTCTGTATGTAGAGGTAAATGTCAGAATGAGATGTTCTGTATGTAGAGGCTGTGACAGAATGAGGTGTTCTGTTTGTAGAGGTCGTGACAGAATGAGGTGTTCTGTATGTAAAGGTAAATGCCAGAATGTGATGTCTAGCACGTAGAGGTTAGGACAGAATGAGGTGTCGATGTCAGAATAAGGGGCCCAGAAAATCCCTTCCGCTTTGAATATAATTATCTTTCAACTGTATTTAATGAGTTAAAATATTGTTCACAAGTTCTCAGATTAATATGATAGCACATCATCCAAACTTTATTTGCAAGATAATTCTATTTTCACTTTTATGTTCATTTCTGAGGACTTGTCAAACTGAAGCCTGGCTGGATAAATTTAATGCGATATGCAGTCACATACATCAGAAATCATAGCATGCTGATGTTTATGATTTAATCAAGAATGAACTCGCTAGATACTCTGGGTTTCGAGATAAGTAATCAAAGGAAATTTTGTAGAACTCCATCTCAGGAACTTGCTTACAAGTTACTAGGATATTGTATCATTTGAAAGATTATAAACTGTTTTTAATTTTTAGAAAAATAGGCCGAAGTCATTTATAGGAAGAAAATTTACAGCACTCCACAACCACTGGCATTTACTTCCAAACATCTTTAGCCTGGGTCATTTATGATTTGCGATGACCATTCTTACCATTTTTAAAATAATTTACCCTATGACCTTGAGGAAAGCTTAAGGTCAATTATCATGCAGAAAGTTAAGAGTACTCTAATACAGGTGTTTACTTGTCAGATACCAGGACTCTGCGACTTAAAAGGATGATTCTTACAAATATATCACATTTGACCTAGGTGACCTTGAAAATATGTCAAAGTCATTTGTATTAGGAAACTTGATAGCGCTACATTCTAGATATGATCTGCTGGAATACTTTACCAGGACACTGTCGTCTTGAAGTTGAGAAGATTCATAAATGTTCTATTTGACCTCAGTGACCTTGAAAATTCATTGAGATAATTTGTGAGAAAACTTTTAAGTAATACCTCCCTGGAACCTCCTGACCAAATATCAGTATCCTGTGTCTTCTTTAATTTAAAAAGAGTAGATTTTCAAACTTTTAAAAAAATATATCTAACCCTTTTTATTTTGAAAGTAGATCAAGATCATTCATATGTGGTACTTCATCCCAGGTACCTCCTAGCCAAATACCAGTATCCAGTTGTTTAGTTTTCTTGAAGAAGGTAACAGTTGAGTGACCAGTGGATCCTTCACCATATCATGAACTGACAGCACCCCCTTCAATAGGGGTTAACAATTGTCTCAGGACACACAACCTACTTTAATATAAAAAGCTAATGAATAATACAAGTCATGTGTCTGTATAATTATGATAATTTTATTTCACAAATTTCTATTATGTATTTGTTAACAAAGTTCATTTATGTAGATATCTCAATCCAAAATATGAAATTGTTTTCTGTATAATATTGTTATACATTACATATATATATTTACATCACACAATAATATGTAAGTTTATATACACATTCCTTGAAAAACATAACAGTATTGAAGTACAACACATTCTGTCACAAAAAAACATCTTGGTATTTGTACTTTCTGTATAAAAGTCAATAATTTTCCAATAATAGAGAAGTTACCTCCCATGTTTCATTATGTTTTCATATAAATTACATTTCACATATCATATACATCAACAAATAAACAATTCTCGCCATATTGTGTTACTTGACAATAATGGAAAAGAAAACTGTGTCAAGAGAGGAATATTTGTTTGAAAAGTGTCAGTTAAGGGACTTGTGTATGACAGAAATGATAAACAAAGACCTTCAGCATTTTTTGAAAATGTATTTTTGACACCATGATCTACTATTTGTCTCCATATAACAATGGTGTAGCAATCTGATGAATACTCGTTTTGTATAATTACAGCATAAGGATGCATTACAGCAAGACTGTATAAAATTGGTAGAAGTCTATATATAAAAACAGAGACCTGGGACAAAGGATATAGAGATGTACCAGAGGGAAGTTCCATCCCTGAAAAGTACTGGAGCCTTGAGACAATAGATATCACTTACAGGTGTATTATAACAATTGTACTGTAGAGATGCACCAGAGGAAAGTTCCATCCCTGAAAAGTACTGGAGCCTTGAGACAATAGATATCACCTAAAGGTGTATTATAACAATTGCACTGTAGAGATGTACCAGAGGGAAGTTCCATCCCTGAAAAGTACTGGAGCCTTGAGACAATAGATATCACCTACACAGATGATTTTGATATAATTTTCATACTAATTGGCAAGTTCTGTCTATAGAACAGAAAATTATCAAATGATACAACTGTAATAAATAACCAAATCATCAACATTTAGATAAAATGTATTATCTGACTGTTTACAAAAATAAATCTTATACAATCATTAACACAAATTGACGTACTCTATAATATATACAACCTATTTAAAACAGTTTTGCATCAATAAGACATATTTTATCAAATAAAGTGGCTTTAAATTGTTTGTTCAAAATACTGATCATTATTATTTACAAAATAAACAATTCCAAAACACATACAGGAGTCACGAGGAAATAAGCAATCTCAAGTTCTTTTCTTCAAATTAAATAAAACAAACATGCAATATCTGGTGAACAGTTAATTGACTTTCTGAATTGACTTTCTGATTATAACTTTTAACATATTCACTTGAGGAAAACAACATCATTTCCACAACAAAAAAATAATGAGAAATTTAATTGAAAAAACAAAGAGAATTTTATGCTTGCTCAGGAAAATAATTTGGTGGGTAACTGAAAATATTTATTTTGAATTAATGAAGTTCTGAAAAAAGCATTTCCAAGAGGAATTTATCAGAAATGAAGTCCAGTCCTAAAAAGCTTCCTGATTTATAATTTAGTGTTTATTGGTAACACATTAAAATAATCACTGACTCTGTTTTTTGTTTTATTTATTTATATTTTCAATTTCTCACAACAAAATCTAAACATTATATATTTCTATTAGAATGCTCATGGTTAAATCAATTTTCAAGACCTGATTTTTTTTTCATAGACCACAGTAAAATCCAGACTCCAGACAAGATTTATCATAGAATTATCACGTTGCTCATTATTAGAGAATCATCAAAGCGAAATATTCCTAATAGTTCTTTAACCTAGAACACAAAAAAATTCACTTTTTCTAACTAAAAACAACAAATAACACCACAAATTTAGTAATTCCTGAACACCCCTGATGGTTAAACCTGACCGGAGCCATACCATTCACGTACAAATATTTCAACTGAAATTGACATGAATCACTTCACCCTGGTCGAAGACACCACCTGTCTATTTTTATCGCAGCACGAAGTCGATCGTCAAACTCGTACAGAAAAATCATCATGATCGATAGATTTCCCTCATAAAATACAACGGAACATCACCTGGACTTGGAACAGGAAGGATGTTAATGGTTTGTACTTATTATCAGCAGATGTTCATAGAAGAAATACCTGCATATTATTTACTAAACACTTTGATAAGATGATCATACAAATGGTTGTTTACCCAACTGTATTTCTCAATCCTTTGCTTTACCAAGTCTAAAACAGAGTTCCCCTTCCCGTCAAGTATGGTTGTCATACTTACCTCCTGTTGATTCTATGTGTCGTTTGACGCGAGTCTCCAACTCCATGAACAAGTCTACATCTTGTCTGGCTGACTCAGCGATGTAATGTAGACAATGACGGCCACGGTTGTCTACAGCTGTGAGCAGTGATGGACACTTCTCACATAAATAGACACAAATCTCCTTTTTGCTAATCTCACAACTCACATGTAATACAGTCCGTCCTTTAATGTCCACTAAGGTGGACATATACTGACCCCACACACAATCCCTGTGTACAACATGTCCGTCTGTCCCACACTGATTATAGAAGGTTTGAAGTGTAGTTCTCTCCACTGTCTGGAATATAGATAAGTTTCCCATTCGTGTCGCGACATGGAGCGGGGTTTGTCCACCATTATTAGTGTCGCGTACCAAGTCTGGATACTTATCACACAACTCAGTCACCATCTCTTCTCTCCCCCACCGACACGCCTCATCTAGGACATTTTTATTGTACCAATCCCTCGCCATTATATTCACGTCGTACTGCAGTAGTTTACGTAACAATTCCACACTCCCTCCCCACACCGCATACAACAATGTTTCATTGTCAGGTTTAACTCCCTTATTCAGAAGATATAAACCACATTCTTTTGAACCAGAATGACATGCTCTTTTTAACAAGTCATGTTTTATCTCATCATTCAGGTATTTAACAACTTCCTTAAGTACATCCACACCTTTCTCATCACCACAACAACTTGTAACCAATGACCACAAGTATGTGTCCTGGTCAGGTTTGACTCCCTCACTTAGAAGATATAAACTACATTCTGTTGAACAAGAATCACATGCTTCATTTAACAAGTCATGTTTTTTCTCATCATTCAGATATTTAACAACTTTCTTCAGTATATCCACATCTCCATTATCAAGCACATGACCTCCTGTAATCAATGACCACAAGTCTGTGCCAATGTCTGGTTTGACTCCCACACTCAGAAGATATAAAACACATTCTTTTACACCAAAATCACATGCCTTATTCAACACAGCAAGTTTATCAACTTTTCTCTCATTCAACAAGTCAAAAAATCTTACAACAAATACAGGATCTTTCCATACATCTAGAGACTTAATACCATTAACATACCTGTGACACTCAAACTCTCGGAGCAGACGTTCACACAGACATGTACAATGATCTGATGATATGACAAACATGTCTGAGGATGTTTTTGAGGTTGTGAGATAACCGAGATATTTCACGGGACAGTTCTGTATATAACCAACTGGTGTTTTGTTCCAATACAAAAGAGCTACTGTGACATGTACAGAATCATGATTAAATCTGTATACTTCCTCACCAAACCAACGTTTCTCCTTCACCACTAAAAATCCTAGCAATCTGTCTAAACTTTCTTTTACAAATTCTACTTTTTTCTTGTAAGTCAATGAGGTTCTGTCATCCTCACCATCAATCAGATTAATATCAAATGATTCCTCTAACAATGTTTTGTTGACTTTATTACTGTTTGGGTCTAGATTTTTAACTTTCATCTCCCCTTCATTGAGGAAAAGAAACAAAATGGCACAACATTCTGGTAATCTTGACAATGCTTCATTCAAAAATTCAAAAGGTTTCTCAAAAAATTTCCCACGTTTTGCCTGCAATACCTCAGAGTTATAGAAAAGGTGACAGCATTGGGGAAAGCCAATGCTTGAAGCAGATTTTACAATACTTTCTATTTCTTTCTCTTCCCATTCATACTTGTTCGGTAGATATTTTTTTAGAAGTTCTTTTCTTTCCTCTAAAATCCTGTATGTGTCAGAACTCAGGTCAATGATAGTATCTTTGGTGAAAACTGGTTCCAAAGACCGCTTTTTCAAAACATTATATATTTCATTACGAATAGTAACAAGCAAAAAATTGGGCTCGATTTGTTGATCTACAAACAGTGTTTTTACATTATTAATTCTTTTGTTCCATTCTTCCACATCAGTATTTCCACATTTTTCTCTCCAAAAATATCATCAATAAAAGTAACCAGATTTGAGTCTGGAGACAATTTATCTAATTTCTTGATTTCATGAAGCTGAAGAGGTTGTCTGCATTGCTGCTCCTTGATCAGCCAGTCCATGAGTTGAATGGCAGTCGAAGTCTTGCCGTCTCCTGTGTTACCCTTGATCATTATGACTCTTCTCTCTCTGAGTTTCTCTTGTGCGTCATGAAAAGCTTTGGTCTCCATGAACTTTTTCTCCTCTTTTTCTGTTTTAATCCTATTTATAGTTTGAACTGTAAGAAAATAAAGAAAGGATAGATATTAAACAAAAAAAAACAAACTTTTATTAGTATACAGCACTTTTAATATGTTAAGATATAACTTTTAAACATTTCTTTTTCCTGTATTAGATTACCAAGATATTATATTGGAATTTATTTTATATTGAATTATGTCTTACTTCCAGTTAAAACATCAGAAGAGTTTGTTTTTAAAAGAATTTATTCAATTTCACCTGTTAGGCTCCGCCCTCCAGTCTCAGGGGGCAGAGACTTTTCGTTTATACCAAATCGAACCTTTACCCAAGAATGCTTCAGACCGATAAAAGGACATTAACTTTGTTGCATTTTATGAATGCTTCAGACCGATAAAAGGACATTAACTTTGTCGCATTTTAGTAAGACTTGACATTTCAAAAATCAAATACAAATGGAAAATTATTTGAAATCTTACATCCCAAGTACTGCATTTAGTATATCACTGATAATGTGGTGATTTGTAGTCATCAAAGAGTATATAAAATGTAACTATTTATAAACAATGTAAAAACTTTAGACGGTCTGCATATTTCACCTGACTTATAAACCTATTTTCCCATATTCAGACCTCATTCTTTAGTTCCCAACTTTGAAAAGCACAATGTCTCCTTATTACTTGTAGTTTGGTCATTAACAGTTACTTGATAAAGCTGTTTTGGACAAATAAGACTTTCAAGGAAAAATTGACAGACAGATACAGCACCTAGACTGGATTTCAACAGTGCTGTAGACCAATGGAGATAAAAAACCATATGCTCCCCTTCCATTCCACTATATCAGTTAACGTTTAGAATCTGACAGTAGAATAAGAACCATATTATGGTAACCTTTGTTTTATACTTAATGTCATTTTATATTTCATAAAATGTTATATTCTTTTTTTCCTCGTAATACACAAAACTTACAAAAAAAATAATGAATGGCTGGATCAATTAAGTTTTCACACAGCATGCCCAGAAATGTTGTGATTCAAGTTTTGAGGAATCTGATGTAACTTTTCTCACACCGTGCCCAGTCAAGTTGATACGACTCACCTATCAAGGGTCTTAAGTCAGATTGGATTTCTGTAAAATAAAGATTCATATATTTAGGAGTTATCAGAATTTAAACACCTGAATTATTCTTAGGAGGCTTTAAGACTAATTAAGTTCTTCATGGATCTTCAATACACATGTTCATCCAAGTTTTCTCCGACCCAAAAACCAGAGTTTAGACATGTTAACAGACTGAACAACATGAGACATCTGTCCATCAAATGTCTTATCCTCATACTGTGGGCAAAAGAAGCTTAATTATGTTAAATTTATGAGCATTGTCTTTCCAGATGGTTATATATTAGACACTATTGGGCCATTTTATGGCAATGAAAATGATGCAAATATCTTGACAAAAACTCTTGGAACCGTTGAGAACCTAACCATGTAGCTCAGTGAAGATGACAATGTGATTGTTGACCAGGGGTTTAGGGATGTGTTGGAGCTTCTGCGAGGTTCAGGGTTTGTCTGTCAGGTCAGACGCAGCATGATACACTTACTGCCAACAAGGACTGCCAATGTACTAAGTCAAGATGGGTTGTGGAGAGCTACCATGGTCTACTGAAACAGTGGAAACTGTTCCGAGAACAACTCAGCTCAAACTACTTCCTTAGTGTCAAAGAGGAACTGGTTAAAGTAGATACTGCTTCCTTGAATGCTGTGTGTGGACCAATTTATGTGTCCACACCAGAGAGGGACTTCAGGGACCGTCGCCCTGTTGAGCGAATGCAATCCCATTTGACTCTGCCCAACACCTTGGCCTTAAGGGTTGCAGATGAACCTGACCTTTCCAGGCGCATCAAGGCCAACTGGGTGAAACTTGATGCCTGTTCAATAGAGTTTCCAGTACTGGATATGGAATATTTAGAAACAGCAACCTGCGGATCATACTAGTTGAAAGTAGCACCCAGATATATTGCTGTGCATCTCACTCCTGCTGGAGACTTTGAAGTTTGGGTCTATAAGCATGATGAAAATCTTCTCTGAGGCCAAATTCATTCAAGGCACAAATCACAGTCAAAATACAATGTTTGGATTGCATTTGACAGAAATGATCAAGATGACCCTGTCAGAGATTACTACTGTGTCTGTCAAGTGGGCAAGCGAACCATCGGAATGTATGCACATGTTGCGTGCATTTTGTATTTCTTGGGCCATGTTCTGCATCAAAATCAAACTAAACCAGTCCATGCAACACTCAAGTTCAAACAAGCAATCACTTCAGCTGTTCTGCTATACTAAAACACAATGTAATGTGCTGCAAACTGCAACTATTCTATCTCTTATTAGCTTCTCAAAGTGCCACAAATTATGGATCGGAATTGACCAAGGCAAAATCTGTCACTATTGCTGTACATAATCTAATAATGTGAATTTATTGACCCACATCTGGGCAATATCCATTTATTCTTACATGAGTAGGATTTTTAAGATTCCATTTTTTCCAATTTAGGCCCTGCCTGTGGTCCCCTTCCTCTTATGATGCATCTTTCATGGCTAGTAGCATTTTTTAGTAAAAACTGACGGATAACGTAATGCGCTGTGTCTTGGCTTAAGTCCTTCGGACCAGGTGAGCTAATAAATATCAAGCAATGCTTCAAACGAAATTTGGGTAATATCCTGCAATTTCTAAAGAGAAAAAATTATCTTTAAGAAAGTTATAGATTTTCCCCATCGTGCCCCGTCCCAGAGGAGCAAGATCCACCATTTAGACAAAGTTATTTCCCCTTCCCAAAAAAGATCATTCAGACCAAGTTTGGTTAAAATCTGCTGAGTTGATTTTGATTGGTTGCAATTTATAGGAAGTTGACAGACGCCAGACAACATGGTATCCCTTACTGGGCTCTAAAGGCCAGGTGAGCTAAAAATCATCCGAAATGTTCGCAGAAAAATATCTGAATTTTTCATGTATTAACTACATTCTTAATCTTATATACTACACTGTTTGATGATAAATCAATATTTACCAGGGCTTGTACTTGTACTGGAGCCCCAAGCCAGACAGACATGTTGACAGGCTGAACAACATGACACGGCTGCCCAATAAAATGTCTTATATTTGGTGTTAGGACTAAAGGAAACTTGGACTGATCAAGACATGTCTGAAGTCATTCCATTCATATTCTACAGTAGTTAAAACACTAGTAGATATTACTATATAAGATAATACATCACCCAATCAGTATGGAACACTTGTCTAACTTTATTACATTATTTCCTTGTAATTCAATGACTATACACATGTTATTTTTTTTAGGTTTGACCTCCTGTCAGAAGGAAACATCAATAAACAAGTGCAGTACTGATACAGTGATACCAACCTATTACAAAGTCTAACTTGAAAATAGAGCTATCTACAAATCTGATCTAACCAGTAACTATTGTACATAGGAATGTGACATAATGTACCGAGGGAGACCTACACATCTGATCTAACCAGTAACTATTTGTACATAGAAATGTGACATAATGTACCATGGAGAGCCTACCAATCTGATCTAACCAGTAACTATTTGTACATAGGAACATGACATCAAGTACAAAGGGAAATTTACCAAACTGTTTTGTGCTTTTAAAACAAACCTGTAGATTGTTGCTGGCTTGTATCTGATGATTTCAGTTTTTTGGCTGCCGATGGACCAGCTGCACCTACAAGTAAGACAATGTTGTCACATACATGATTATGAATAAGTAGAACAGTTTTTTTACCAGTTAATTTAAGTGTTTCAAAGGATTCATAAGTATTAGATAACTAGTGGTTTAAATATTTTTCTCCACACTAAAGACACCACTTTTTCATTTCTGGTGACTGATCAGACTAAACAAAATTCTATTTCTCCTTAATTTCTCTAAAAATTGACAAAAAAACTCTTCATCCAAGGATGATTTAGACCAAACCGAGACAGAATCATGACATACCTACAGAAGATGAAATATTTTAAAGTATTGCTGTTTCCCCTATAATAGACCTGTTCCTCCAGTCCCAAGTACCAAGAAACACTGTTAGTTTGTATAAAACTGAATCCTCTTCCCCAAGGATGTTTGTAACTAAATACAAAATATGGAATAAACAGTATTGAAGATGATTCTACACAGTGATAAGCTGAACCAGAAATCAGGACAATCAGTGTGATACATCATATCAATACTGCTTCTATACATCAGACCCAATATCACATCACACTGCCAGGAACTAATTCTGATCATTATTATTGTCAGTTCTCACCTCCATTAAGTATACCCTTGACAATTTTTTCTTGTTCTTCCACATAAGTAGCCATTCTGGGATTAATCAATCTTAATTTTGGTGTAAAATGTTCATAATTTCCTATTGAAATCTTCTCAGCATTACGAAGGTGTACAAATAGGTCATCTATATCTTTGATGTTTGTAATCTCTCGTGGAGATAGTGGGCAATCTCTGAATTGATACTTCAATTGATTTATCTGGGAGTCGTTTAACTCTTGCTGGAGTTTAAATGCCAATTCATTGTGGGCGGCTACAGCTTCTTCATTTACAGATGCCATTTCTTATATCTCTCACACCTGAAAAAGATAAAAGAATCAATTAATTTTATTAGACACATTTTAACAAATGGCGAAAATTCTGTAAATAATAGGTTCTGAGCCCTGACTTTCGTACACTGCACATACTCTTGTTAAGATGAATGTATAAAGGCGAGCAAAATGAAACTCTGGACTAGAAAAACAACAAGAGGCAATAACTCTGTAATAATGTGGTTGAGGGTCCTAACTTTGCACAATGTCTCATTATCCTCATTAGAATGCGAGCACAATTATGCTCTAGACATGAAATCTTTCATGAAATAAGTTCAGTATAATGAAGAGGTTATGGGTCCTGAATTTGGTACATAATATATATTAAGGTAATAGAAGGCAAATGGCAAATATTGTTTAACACTTATGTAGATAGGAATGTCCTGATAAACTGTGGTTTGGAATATTTAGCAACTGTACAACAGAGGTGTAAAAATTTATTCTGGAAAGACGTATTTCAGTCTTGGAGAACTTTAATAAGTTAGCAATGTATGTTAAATGAAACGGTTGATATGCTAAAAACACCTATTTAGTACAATGAACATCTTAAAATAGGTAACAAGACTATTTTTTATAGAGAATGGTTTTGTAATGGTGTTGTAATTATTAATGACTTAATAAAAGAACATGATTCTAACACTCTTTACTCCTATAATGAATTTTTGCAAAAATTCCAAATTAATACAGATTTCATAACATACCAAGGTGTTGTGTCTGTTATAAAAAAATATATGCCACGTGATATCCGCAATGTAGTGATAAATTACCCATATATACCAAAAATCTTAGAAATTTTTTTTAAGCATAAAAGGGGTATGAAAGATTTTTATAACATACTCTAAAAATAGCTCTACAGCCACAGGGAGAAACAAGAGGAATTAACTTTTTTAATTAAATGATGAAACCTGGAAATCAATATACATGAGTCCATTTCAAGCTAATACAGACACAAAATTACTATGGCTGCAATACAGAATTAATCATAACATATTGACCACAAATTCACATCTATTTAAATTAGGCCTTGTTGACAACCCTTCTTGCCACTTCTGTAAAACTGAAAGAGAAACAATAGTTCATACATTATGAGATTGTACTGAAATCCAAAACTTCTTACGAAACTTTGAATTTCTACTAGATGCACTGTTCATCCCATTTGCATTTAATAAGGAAACCTTCATTTTTGGGCTTTTTAATCAAAATAGTTGTAGTAGGAAAGTAGATAATACTATCATTCTGTTAATGAAATACTATATATATATAGATCAAGATGTTTGCAAACAACACTTTCTATAACAGCAATGAAAAATCTAATTAAAGATACTTACTTTTCTCAGAGATATTCAGCGATAGGGAAGGGAGACACTTTTGTACATAAACTTAATAATGAGTGGAAAAAATGGGACAGACTACTTACATCTACATAACCTTGACATTTTCGTCTTGTCAGGAAAAAAGTTACATTGTATCAACTTTATCTTTGTTTGCGAAATCTTTTATTGTATGTTAATAGCTTAAACCATCTCCATGCTTCTGGTAAGTTTATACATGGTAATGTATTTTGTATATTATATTTATGGTATTGTTTGAAAATTGGAAAAAAATAAAAAGTTAGCCAAAAAAAAAAATATATTAAGGTAATATTCCATTCAGAGAGAATGTTCCGATTTTGGGTTTGAAAAAATTTAGTGAAAGAAGACTCGCTCGCGACTCAAACAGATCGACAGTAGAACTACAGCAATGGCATCTGTACTATGAAAGATTCTTACCCCGGGGCAACCCAGTGACTGTATAGGAAAGACTAGGAAGGGGGCATAGAGGGTTGGCATCCCAACTTGCAGTTCCTGTGAGGAAACATCCTATTTCAACCAGCTACTACACAGAATACGGAGCAACACCCAGAGTCTTCGGGAAGAGGGGCTGGATGAAAGACTCAACAGGATGGGTAATATGGAACAACATGGCCTAAACAAACAACATTGAAAAGAACAGTAGAGGAGACCAAGATGCCATCAAGGTCTGCAAGAGTATTAGGGGAGT